ATGGGCACAACCCTTAAATCCCCAACAATAAATCCAACACACATCAACCTCCCACCAACCACCCCAATAATACAGATCCACAACCATCCAACCACAATCACCACCACAATACGAATGCACCCATATGCCAACACCTAACCATAATCACCACCTCAATACCAATACCTCTATATTCCCCACACCCAACCACAGTCTCAATCACAATACCAATACACCTGCATGCCCCACACACAATTCCAGTCTTCTCCATATCCCAACGTGGGTCTCTCAACATCTAACATTAGCCCTGATCTGGGATTTTCCGAAGAATATGACCCAACCGACCCAACTTACCATCAACCACCACATCACCATAGCACCCAACAGTCACAATACCAAACACCCCAAGATTCATTTCCTTTCTACCCCCCTTACTCAGACGACCAGTGCTATAGACCAACCATGAAACCCCACCCACCACCAAGACGACCAAACTTTAAGGGCATGGGTAATCGATTGTATAAAAGAGAATCTTCCACAAATGGTAATTTGACTGATTCATGGATCCTGAACGCATTGACTTCGCTGGGCCATCGACCCTGCCACAACAGGAAATGCGACGAAACCCACCACGAGACAGGTAAGGATGCAGATGCAGAACCACAGGCCATTACTGAATTCTGGGGGAACACTAATTCTGGGGGAACACTAATTATTTTTAATGTTTTTTTATTATATAATCGTTTTTTGTAAATGAAAAGTCAAATTTTTGTGAAGCTATATTGTTTACCTAATGTCTCGCATTTAAAATGAAAAAACGAAAAAAACTGCACCTCTATTGCACTTAGGCGTCATCTCACATGACTTAGGACAAACTTTTAACACCTAGGCGTCAAGTGAGATGGCGCCTCCCCTTTACTTTTAGGTGCATGCACCAACTGGGTTGGCTACTCCTTTGTGGAATTTTCTGAAACATGGTTATTTGCGTAATTTTCTCTGAAACATAGTTATTTCTGTAAAAAAAATTCAAAAACAATTATTATTATTATTATTATTATTATTATTATTATTATTATCTTTATTATTATTATTATTATTATTATTATTATTATTATTATTTTTATTATTATTATTATTATTATTATTATCTTTATTATTATTATTATTATTATTATTATTATTATTATTATTATTATTATTATTATTATTATTATTATTATTATCATCATCATTATGATCATCATTATCATCATTTTTATCATTATTATCATCATCATTATTATTATTATCATCATTTTTATCATTATTATCATCATCATTATTATCATCATTATGATCATCATCATCATCATCATCATCATTATTATTATTATTATTATTATCATTATTATCATCATTATTATCATCATTATTATTATTATCATTATTATTATTATTATTATCATTATTATATTTTCATTATTATTATTATTATTATTATTATTATTATTATTATTATTATTATTATTATTATTATTATTATTATTATTATTTTTATTATTATTATTATTATTATTATTATTATTATTATTATTATTATTATTATTATTATTATTATTATTATTATTATTATTATTATTATTATTATTATTATTATTATTATTTGACTTGATCTCATAAGAATTTTATTCTCCTATTTTTCTAAAGAACGACGACATACATCTAATATGAAAATCTCTTTTTTTTTCTCTCCTATTTTTATTCTTTTTCTCGTAGTTAAATTTTTTGGTTATCCAGAATAGTCTATTGAATTTTAAAAGAACTGCAAACAGATAAATACTTGAGTGTTTTTATACGCCTGTAATTGATAAGAAAGGTTTCATATATCACAAAAACTATTATTTCATTCAAATAACGACAAAAAAAACTGAACTGATTTATCAACAACTGGGTTTCATACAAAGAATGTTTCATTTTTTGCTAAAAGATTCTAGGCGCAGCATATTTTGAAAGTTAAAGGAGAGCACTAATATAAGAGTCACTAGGACTCTAACTATATAGAGAAAAGAACCAAATGCTCTTTAGTCTATTTCCCAAAAGCTTAGAAACTCTTATGATCATGCATGAATGACTTGAAATATAGGGACACCATTTAATTAGATACGAAAGGTGCAGATTGAGATTCCAATTATAGCCAGAAACTGTCACATTAACCGAAATCAGGTTTGTAATTTGAAAGAGACCTTCACGTTTTGGATTGGATCAAAGAGCTTAAAGGCTTTAAATTTTTCTCAAGTTGATTAGTAAGTGGAGATTAATGTCCCAACTAAGTCATAAAATAGTTATAACCAAGATAAGCAAAGACAGTCCATGTTCAAGTACATGTATTTGTTGCATCAAATGGGAAAACATCTACTTTTGAACTCAACAGGAGAATCATATACATATCCATACTTTCATGCTTATCCAATGACAGTGCATATGCATATGTTCTCAATAAATGTTTGTGTGTATTCCCGTATAGAACAAGAAATTAATGATGTATTAGTGAAATTTGTTGTAGAAGCTCTCGAATAAGCAGAAGAGAGGTATATCTGCAAGGTTATCATATTAAAAGGTGTAATTTACAAGAATGAATGAAAACGTATTTGGTTATGGCACCTAATTGTGATTATAAATGAGAAACGGTTGAAACCGGCGCGGTGGGCGCGGGTGGAACATGGATAGCCATTAAATTTGATCTGACAACTAAGATGAGACTGTTGCTCGACTTTGATGTGTGACATTGTAGCGAGGGTTTACCGATTTGTCCTCCTAAATGAGTGTTCTGAATTGGCCTCTTAGAACTTGGTTGGTCCTATTGGCTTGTTTGTCGGATCTGAAACAGTTGTCCCCAAAGTCTTTTTTATCGGGCAGAAGTTAGGATTATTATAGAAGCATTGGGATCAGCCTTTAAAATGTTGTTCTTGTTCTTTTTTGTTTCAAGGCTTTCAGGCGACATTTTGAGCCGAAAAAGAGACTGGTTCATTGAGTGGGAATAGTTGATTTTGAGAACACGCACATTAAATGCATGTCTTGTAACTGAAACATTTTGTTGTGAAGATTTTTCACACTACCTTAGGATTCTAGGGTAGAGGGATAGTGACACCCCTATATCACTTGAGTGCACTCGAGTGTCGTTATGAAATTGATGTTAATCATTAACTATTGATCGCATCTTCTAATGTTTTGTTGATTCGTGAATACAAATCTACGCTCCTTAGGAGTCTATAAAATGGGCAAAATACAATTATTTGCTCCTTTCGCTTCCTTTTCCCTAGAGTCTCAAACCACTAGTCTTTCATGTGACCTTTTCTTTACCAATGATCTTTCAATTTCCTAAAATCGTCATCTTAATTTGTGCAACATTTATGGATCTTTAGTGGTCTTGTCATTGTTTTTTCAACTTAAACTCTGCATTATCTTTAACGTAAGATTATCTCTCATTATCCTTTTAATTGTTTCCATTTATTTCTACCTATGGCCAACATAGGAAATTCAAACATCCCCTTAGTAAACTTGTCGAGTGGTGATGAGATAAATGTCACATCTCTAACTAAAGTGATAAACCCATAAATACTGGAGGTGTCTCCTTTAGTAGTGAGGTATCCTTATGTATACTTTATAGAGATTAGCGAGATTGTGGGGGAGGGGGGGTCAGGCGAGAATGCAAAAAAGTTGAAGGGTCTCCAATAAATGGAAAACATTGAAATGAATGTGCGTGAAGAGGAGGAAATTGCTAATTTAAGGATTGATATTAGGAAATTTGGTTGCGGTTTCGCTTTCTCTGAGCTCCCTATGTCAAACTCACAAACCGTTCAAGTGTACCAAGATGAGTTGAAGGACCATGTTTACATTAAGGCCTTTAAGTTCCCATGAATGTGTGTGTGTGAGCGTGTGCACGCGTGTGTATGTGTGTGTTACCACAGGGTCCCTTTGGATAATAGAGACTACCCTCCAGGTTTCACCTCCTCTTTGCCTTTAAATGATTTTGCATATCTGAAATGCGTGGACAAGTTTTTTAAGTATTATAGGAATAACCACTTTTGGAGGTTTTGAGAACATATGTCTTCAAATCATATGATGTGTTAAAGGATAAGGGTTTGAAGGTAGGACTTGTTATATTTTGGAAAATTATGGGTTTTATAGAAGGAGTTGGTCTTTGTGATGGTCAAGCACCAAAGCAGAAGAGGCAGTATATAGAATATTGGTCATTGGTAGAGGCGGCCACCAAGGAAAAGATTCAAAGAATATTTGGAAAGGAGATACATGTTTATCTTAAGTATTAATATAAGTATTGCTCGGTTCCTTTGTGTATTCATTAGTTACTTTGTCTTGCAAATAACATGGATATATTTAACAATTTTATGGTAATGGGGAAGGGTCTTAGCAAAATCACCCCCTTTGTCCAACTCCACCTCTAGAGCAGACAATGAAGGTGAACATGCAAGCTCTAAAAGAGGCCGAGAAAGGAATCCATCGCCCCTGAGGCCCAAATCTAAAACATCAAATGATCACTTGGGAAATCATGCTTCAAGTTGGTCTTCATTAAGGATAAAGAGTGATGGTTCTTCAAGGCGGGAGAAAGATAAAAGTCATATTCAAGATGGATCAGATTTAAAGAGGCTCAAAATGGGGGTTCCTGAGGCTAGAAATATTACAATATGGGGAACCCAAAATGTGCCGCCTTCCCACTCTATACAGATTGTCCTTCTCACCACTAGTCCTAGATATGCCAAAGATGTTCAAACTAGCTTCCAAGATAGTGATTATAATTAGTTTGCTTGTCTAAATGAGTCATGGAGAAATAAAAAGGTGATGATAAATGTGTCCTTCCAATACATTGGGAGGTTGTTGTACTGTCTAATGGTGCTTATGATAAGGGTTGTACTGTCTAATGGTGCTTATGATAAGGTGGAAGTCCTGACCCCATATAGTCTTACAATGGAAAAGGTGATCCTTTGAAAGCAACAGACTTCGTCCTTTTGAAAATAGACACTCTTATGAAGGATCATGCTGAGTCGAATAACCTCTTGGAATCATCTCAGAAAGACTTTGAGGAGCATGGTTCCCTATATGTACAGGTAACAAAGGTGAAAGATCTAAAGAAGATGATAAAGAAGAAAGAGAAGACCTTGGTCGAGGTCCAGACCTCATTGTTTGGTGTTGAATCTGCTTTAAATGACGCAAGAGTGTTACTCAAGACTGTGAGCAAGACAATCCATAAGAAGAAAGCCTCTTACAATAAGGAGAAAGAGTCTCACAAGGAATAGGTAAAAAAATATAAAGGAACTGTTGAAGAATTCAAATAAGGACAAAGAATCATAGCATAGTGAATTTGAAAAAGTTTTTTTGTATTTCTAGCCAGGTCATGCATGTATCTTTTGATAACACCTTGAACCTAGTGAAGTTGATATGTGCTGGATTAAATATTCCATGGGATAAGCTTGGTGCCAAGCATAAAGTATTGAAAGGAAAATTGGTCTCTCTTGAAGAAACTCTAGATTAGTAGATATTGCTTTGTGTTTCCTTTATTAGGAAGATGTGTTGGGGTTCATTTGTTTGGTTTTTTCCAACCTTGTATTGTAATGGCCTTTGGCTTAGTTTTATGAATAATTTTACGAATGATTTTGTTTGTCCTTTTATTTTTATGAAAGATTTTGTTTCATCATTTTCCTTTCACGAATTCTTTTGTTTCATCCTTGTGGTTCGTGTTGTACAGATTCGTGCAGGAAATAGTGTCAAATGGTTTTGATGATGATGATTATCAAGGTATTAATGACAATTGTCAAGGTATTAATCATAAATATCAATATGTTAACAACAATGTGATACGGTGGCTGAACCGACTATTATACTGGTTTGCGTTTTATATTCGCAAATGTGCGATAATCAAGAGTCGCCATCGACTTTTCTTTTATCCAACAAAGGAAAGGGTGAAAAGAATAGAAAAAGACATTTTTCGAGAGTTTCTGAGTAAGGGGGGTAGATTATGGAAAGGGAAGGTGTTAGCACCCTTTCCATCTGTGGTTTTCCACGGGCTCTTAGGTACTTGCTCATTTTGGAAAATTGTTTTCGTGTTTGTGTATTTTGAAATTTTTGTTTGTTTTATGCTAACTCTTGTATCAGTCCTCAAGAGTGTTGATAAAGTGTTTTTTGAAAATAGTTTTGAAAGTGTAGTGTGAAAAAGATTATTTTTGAGCAAGTACCTAACAGTTATCTACCTACTCGAAAAAATGTTTTTTTTTGCTCATTTCCTTTAGATAGTGCTATCCTACTATGAGTGAGTAGGTAGCCATATCGTTGGATGTTGAGGGACTATCGAATGGACGTTTACGGTCACTAAGGCAACTGGGCAAGAACTTTTAGTAATTGTCCTAAAGTTCTAAAGTCACTTTTTAACCGAGGCGACATCAATAGGGTCATCGATGGACTTGTGATCTCTTGAACTAAAGAACAACCACTAAAGATTCTCACGTTTTGATAATTGTGACCGTTTTCGAAGGCAACCGAAGTGGGAGATACCCTAGGGATGAGCATGTGCAAGTGTGTTGAGATTCAGTTATTTTTTGTCTTTTTGTTAGGTTAGCTAATGTTTTAATCTTTAGTCTTTCCATGCAAGCCTATTTACTAACAATAATATAGTAAAATAATAAAGCAATAAATGTGCGAAAAATAAAATGCAGAAAAATAAATCCTAAGTTATTACACGGCTTTGGGAGAGATACATTATAAATGTAAGAAAATAAAATGCAGAATTTTAAATATAGACTATTATATCCCATAATCAGTTACATTATTTATATAAAATGCAAGAATAAAAATAACACGCACGAAATAAATATTACGTCTAAAAAAAGAACTATTAAATAAAATTCATTTTGTTGTTTTTGTCATGAAAAGAAATTAACTTAAAAATCCTAAGTTTAATCAATTTTAGTTTTTTTAAGAAAGTATTAAATTAATTAATTAATTAATTGACAAAATTAATATTAATAGTAAAAACTAAAACCTAATCTTTCTTTGTGATTTTTGATTTTTTTGATTAAAAACAAAGTAATGAAAAGGATAAACTAAATGGAAAAAGCAGTAAAAAGGAAAAGAGTAATCTGCAGGATGTAGGCCTGGATCGAAAGGCCTAAGGCTACCTTTCGATCCAAGTGAAAAGGCTGATCGAAGATTCCTGAGAGACTGCATCTCTGGGGTGTTCAATCTGGATGTGTCATCCTTTGATCAGGGATACTGGATCTACAAGGAATTCGTTAGAAAAAGAAAAAAAAACATCCTAGACTTGAATTGAATCTGGTCTTGGATTCGATAGCCCGGAAGTGTCACCCTGAATCAAATCGTCAGATTCTGAGTCGAAGGTCATTGGCAAAAGGTTTATGCCACCTAGTTTGAAGCTTACTACTTCGAAGCCCTAAACAGTATTCCTGCAAAATGAACAAATGTTAGAGATCCAGGGGGGGACCTTACTCCCCTAGCTCGAACAACTCCCTAATTCCAAACTCTCCTTAATTCGAATCTGGATTCGCCATGTCCTGAAACACTAAGAATCCTGAGATTCGAAGGAACTAAATTCACGTGCCTTAACAATGGCAGGTCTGTGAGGATTGTAACATGTCTAACGCTTCATTACAAACATGCACAAACACATTAGAACAAATAAATGCAGCTTTGGGTGTGGAAACGTTGGCTTAGGAGTTGGTATGGACTCCTGGATGGATCAGAAATACAAATCTAGTATTCGTATGGGCTAAAGGTGCATGCAAAAAAGGTGCTTCGATTGGGACACTTTTGAGATTTCTTTGAACAATGTGGAAATGTGATATGTGTGATGCAGTATGCGCGCCTGTGAGTCCCCCTAGATTTTTTTTCGACATCTTGTATTTATAGATGGTGGAGGAGACAAAAAATCATGGCATTAAAGACCAGCCATTAACAGGGCTTTGAAAACAGAATCAGACAAATTAAAATATTTCCATTTTGAGATATTTCATGCCATTCTGGGATTCTGAATGAACTTGGACATGTCAATTTGTGCCTTGTTCGATTTTGAAAATATTCAGAGTTTCCCTCTTCAGAGCCCCTTCGATCAACCCTTGTTCTTGTGATGATTCTAAGTCCTGATTTAAATTTCCCAAAACTTCCCTCATCAGAACATTTGTTTCCTTCGAAGGCTCTGAATTCTAATTCGAATTGAACCAACTTCGTTATCATGTCTCCTTCGATTAAGTCTAGAACTTTGCTCTCTTCGATGGCTTTGAACTTGACCAATCGAAGCATTATCTTATTGACTGGTCGAAGTGTTGTTTTTCTCTCTTCAATGGCTCTGCGTCCTGATTCGAATTGCTCATATTCTCAGCATCAGAGTTTCTTCGTTTGAACCATGGTCTACAGGAATTCGAAAGGCTCAGAGTTATTCTTATCAGAGCTCCTTCGATTTTGTCTCCAATCTGCATGAATTTGAATGGCCCATCATCAGAGCTTTTGGAAACCTCTCAGTTCTTGCTCTTTTCGATCTCATTTTCTCTAACTTGGACAATCGACATGTCACCCTGTTGATATGCCATCAAAATATCACTTGGTTCACATGCCTGTTGAAAGACACTTTGTATGCCCTAACGAAAGACAATGTTACTTAAGATGTCCATCGAAGTTGCCTTGTTTAAGATGCCCATCAAAAGACCCTTTGGCATGCCAATCGAAAGACCTTTTGCAGATGCCAATCGATGGGAACTTTTTAGATGTCAATCGAAGGACACTTAACCATCATTCAAATTTTTTCCTTTTCTTTAGGAAAATGTTTGCAACCACCCATGCAAGAGAAAATCTTATAAAAACATGAGAGGGCAAATTTTGGGGTACAACAACTGCCCCTATTCATTCTTCTTAAACCTGGAGGTTTAGATTTGCTTGTCTTCCTTTCGTGATGGTAAGGTGGAAGATTATTGAACACTAGAGTGCCCAAAAATTTTCACCCGATGATGTGATGGTTAATTGTGTAGGAAGCGGGCTTAAAGATGCCATTTGAAGAATATGACAGAGAGTCGTCGGAGATGGGCTTAAAGATGCCATCCAAAGTAGATGATAACTTCATAAGAGGTCTCTTTATGGGGATCCATGTTCCTGCTTTCTAAGGAGGAGTTCGCTGGGGAATATTGATCTCTGTCTTGGGAAATAGAGTCTAGGAGCTTATGTTATCCATTACTCTATTGGGGAGTTATTTCCTGACTGGAGAGACGAAAGCGGGCTGTTATCTGGTCAGGATCCAGGCTTCACAGCAACTTGCTGAGGATAATAAGGTTGACTGTCATCCGGTTGTATTCCATGATTCACAGCGACTTATCAGGGAATATGAAATTAACTGCTATCTGGTCGATTCCAGGCTTCGCAGTAATTGTAGACATTGAACTGTTATCGGGTCATATCCAAGTTTCAGTGATTTGAAGAAATTAAGCTATTATCTGGCCGGGTCCATGATTTAACTTAAATCTGAGGTATACCGTTATCTGGTTATATCCAGGCTTCGGTGATTTGAAGAAATTAAGTTGTTATCTGATCGGGTCCAGGATTCAACTTGAATCTGAGGTATATCGTTATCTGGTCGTATCCAGGCTTCAGTGATTTGAAGAAATTAAGCTGTTATCTGGTCGGGTCCAGGCTTCAACTTGAATGTGAGGTATACTATTATCTGGTCATATCCAGGCTTCAGTGATTTAAAGAAATTAAGCTGTTATCTGGTTGGGTCCAGGCTTCAACTTGAATTTGAGGTATACCATTATCTGGTCGTATCCAGGCTTCGGTGATTTGAATAAATTAAGCTGTTATCTGGTCGGGTCCAAGCTTCAACTTGAATCTGAGGTATATCGTTATCTGGTTGTATCTAGGCTTCGGTGATTTGAAGAAATTAAGTTGTTATCTGGTCGGGTCCAGGCATCAACTTGAATCTGAGGTATATTGTTATCTGGTTGTATCCAGGCTTCGGTGATTTGAAGAAATTAAGCTATTATCTGGTCGGGTCCAGGCTTCAACTTAAATATGAGGTATACCGTTATCTGGTCATATCCAGGCTTCGGTGATTTGAAGAAATTAAGTTGTTATCTAGTCGGGTCCAGGTTTCAACTTGAATCTGAGGTATACCGTTATCTGGTCGAGTCCAGATTTCGATGATTTGAAGAAATTAAGCTGTTATCTGGTCGGGTCCAGGCTTCAACTTGAATCTGAGGTATACCATTATCTGGTCGTATCCAGGCTTTACAGTATCTTTAACTGGATAAGAATCAGAAAATCTTAGTGTCAATTTAACTGAACCAGAGAAAGTATCTACCGAGAAAGAATCAGAATAAATCATTGGTCGACTTAAACTGAACCAATAGAGATCTTGAGTTATCTTTAACTGGATAAGAATCAGAAAAATCTTAGGGTCGATTTGATTGAACCAGGGAAAGTATCTAACGAAAAAGAATCAGGATAAATCATTGGTCGATTTAAACTGAACCAGCAGAA